GGGAGGCTTGGTGGTTGCCTGGGGTGGGGCAGAGGCTGGGTGCCCCGCTCCTAGATCTGCTGCTCCCTTCCTTCTCGCCCTTGGTGACGAAAAGGGACCACGTGCTAAGCTGACCAGCTCAGGGCAGGCCTGCATGGCGGCCTTGCAAACGCAGAGACCCGAAGTGACCACAAAGGATGGTCTGAAATTAAAACTTTTTAAACTAAAAAGCAGTTTATGGTGAGTAGTCGTGTCCTAGGCCGGTATCTTTCCTGACAAAGGTTAGTCTTTACCTTAACTGAGCCCATTTTCTTTCTGCATCTATGATATATGGTTGGAATGTCAAAGTAATGCTCCTTTTTCTGGACCCCTCAAAGCACAGGCAGCGCTCTTCAGAGACCACGCATCCCCTCATTGTTATTGAGTGAATTGCTGACTGTTAACGGTCCTGCACCCTCTCCAGTAAAAGAAGTATGTGCCTAGCATTTTACTTTTTATCCAATCTCAGAGGTGTCCTCGCTTTGCTTTCTCCCACCTCCCTCAGCTATTACCAGTGGGTTTTACTAGTATGTAACCCAGTACGTCTCCTCTTTTGATTGCAGTGTATGCCGTAAAACGATGCAAAACTGCCCGTCTCCAGAGCATTATTTCAATCTGTTAAGATTCTGCTTCCCAGCAATTGTCCACAGTTTGGCTCAAATAAATTCACAAATTCTTCACAGGTTTGAATGTGTTAACACCCTCCTGGGGCGATATCCAATATTGGAAAGGTCTTGGGCTTGTTTCCTCAGTCCCTCCACCCTGGACCTCAAGGCCATCCCCAGGTTCAACCTGCTTGTGGCTCAAGGGCACCCTGACCCTTTCCTGCATCTTCCAAAATGGTCCCCCTGTTGGAGATAAGTTTCCCTGGGCCTGCTTCCTTTCCACCTGTTTTCTTTCCACCTTTCTTGTTATTGACCAAGGCTACCGCTTTTCTTAGCAAATACTCTAAACCCAGGCTAATTCAGTAGTAATCCAGTAGTGAAGGTTTTTTTTTTTTTTTTTTTTTTAACAAGGAACTTTCAAATCTATTATTTATCTAAGTGACCAGAGAATAAAATCTTAAATTAGATGAAGATTCAAATGGTGTGAACAGCAGGAGTGAGAGCCTCCCAGGGGCGGGGCAGGGAGAGCAGGGAGGCCTCCACCAGGCCAGCGTCATCATCTCCTCCTCCTCCTCCTTCTCCTCCTCCTCCTCCTCCTCCTCCTCCTCCTTCTCCTCTTCCAACCACCAGTGTGATTAGCGCCATTTGAACTCTGGGGTTTTCCTCTGCCTACAACGTGCTTGCTTTTCTCCATGCACCAAAATCCTACTGATTCTTCAAACGCTAGCTCAAGTTTTACTAACACCTAACCTAATCACCCAACTGGAAGGGATATTTTCAAACTCTAGGAGAAACTTAGCAGTTACTCATCTTCTCTCTGAAAGTGGAGAGGGGAGTGGAATTAATATCAATCTTATTTTAAATTTCATTGTTCTCCCCAATAGTTTCCTTGCCCCCTTTCCTGTGAGGGGATTATATGTCCTCTCCTGTTACTATGTAATCTGGACTGCCCTCCCTCTTCACTCCTCCACTGATATTTGGCCTGGTCATGTGAAAGTAATGTTCCTTTTTCTGGACCCCTCAAAGCACAGGTACATGGATGTGGTATAGGCATGTTTGAACAGAAGCTTTAAGAGGCAGTTTGAGTTTCTACCACTTTTACTTGTGTCTTCCCCCAACAGAATGGCATGCCCCTATGAGACTACTCCTTTAGCTGAGGCCCCAGAATGAAAAAACACAAGGAAGTACATATATGTATAACATGAGCAATAAATAGACATTTATTGTCCGAGTGACTGGTAAAAGGGATAATACACACACACACACACACACACACAAACACACTGAGTGGCCAGATTATTATGACCACCTGATGTTTGTAGGCAAATTAGCTATAATTTTGCGCTGAAGTTGGTAGAGGGCCAGCCCATTATAAATAGGGAAGCAGGTTGTTTACCACGACAGGAGAAGTGATTTTTTTCTGCAGATATGGGTAAACAGTGTGATTTAACAGCCTTTGAATGTGGGATATATATATATATATTTCTTATACAGTATGTGTGAAGTTTTTTATACAGTGCTTCACAAATAATGGGCATTCATTAAATGATAAATAGTAGATATTTATTGCATCATCACCATCAATGCTTTTGCTACACATTATTTTATTTCTATATGTAAAATAAACTTTAGCAGTCAAACACTCTTCCCATTGACATTTTTCATTTTTCTTTCCTTAAAGATACAGGATAATCGAGAACCGACAGGAACCCAGTGCCACTGTGGTCTCTTGATACTGAATGATCACATTTGCCTACATTAAATTGAGATAATGAATGCTAGAAACAATCTTAAGAGGGTCCGTCATTTAACTGTATATAATGTGATGTTGAGTGTTCATTCCAGATAATTTAATCACCGGGGGTAGCTAATGGCTCACTAATTCAGGCCAAGAAAATGCATCCTCTCGCTTCCTCCCTGCCCCTCCCTCTTGTTGATATAGCGGTCCCCTAAGTAATTCAGCACACCATGTCCACCATACAGAAGCATAG